CACACTCTCTCTGTCTCTCTCTCATACGAGAGAGCAACCTACCTAACCAACATGTTCATTTGCCATGAAATTTCAGTGAATTGTAGCTATGCGGGTCTTTATCTAAGTTCAATAGTGACTGCATCCTAACATCTAACCCCACTATAAGTTCGTATTGACAACACTACTCTTTCTAGCGGCCCCATTTAAGATGAAATTCCAGTGTTGCTATTTTGAGCACTTATCTGTAAATAAAAAAATATGTGATTTTAGAATTACTGATTTTGCAGAACAAAATTGCAGAACAAAATTGCATTGCTTTGACCCATAACTTCACATCTTACTTATCTTGAGTTTTAGTCTACTAAAGTGACTTCTGTTTGAGTTTTATAAACTTGACTATTAAAAGAATGAGATTTTTCTAGTAAAATTTGATAAATTTAATGTTTTGGGCTTCTAATACTTGATTTGGTGTGGCAGGAGGTGCATGTGGGTATGGCAATTTGTATGGCCAAGGCTATGGCACTAACACCGTAGCACTAAGCACTGCTCTGTTCAACAATGGCTTGAGCTGTGGGGCATGCTATCAGATCAAATGCAATAGTGACCCACAATTGTGCCTCCTTGGGACCATCATTATGACTGCTACAAACTTCTGTCCACCTAACCCTTCCCAATCTAATGACAATGGTGGGTGGTGCAACCCTCCCCTCCAACACTTTGATCTGGCAGAGCCTGCTTTCTTGCAAATTGCTCAATACAGAGCTGGAATTGTTCCAGTCTCTTTTCAAAGGTAAGGGTTGCTCTCTAATTACCCTCACAACTTTGCTAGTTGCACTGAACACAGATAAGGGTGTGGACCCAACACCACTCTCTATGTCTCTCATGTCATGTAGCACTTTTTATATTTATTTTTCTGCAACTAGTATTATGTACATATACCCTCAACATTCATAAAAGTCAAACAAATTAACTAAAAAATTAGTCAAAGCAATTTGCTTAATCTGTGCTAGTTAATTTGACTATCGAATAAAGACCAATGAGTTTGTGATGTCTTATCGAGTGTGATACTCGGATCGAGTCTTACTGTCAGTAGTTTCTCCCTTCTTTAAATAAACTAATGAATATGGTTGTGTAGTGGTCTTGACAGGGTGCCCTGTGTGAAGAAAGTTACCTGATCCTATGTCTCTCAGAATCTCATACCTTTCCATGTTTGTTTATCACCAAACAACCTTCCCTTATAACAATAATAACTGTTTTCGTTTTCTCACTCACTCTCTCCCCCCTCCCCTCCCTTCCCCTCTTTCCTTCCTTATATCAATTAATCAATCAATCAATTTGTATTTGTTGAGGGCATTCCATTTTGCTTTCAAATCAATAGCTGTAAAGATATCTTCTTTCATCAAGACTTTCCAAAGGTCCAAACCAACCAATGATTTGCAGGTCCTAATTCATAAACTAATTTTATCCCTATGTCCTGATTGCTGATCATTGAAAGTAAAATTGATAAACTAAAATTCATAAACTAAACATCATCTATATTCAAGGAAAGGCATTCAGTCCCCATTGTGAGGAGTTTTTTTTACTTTCATTAAATCTGATGCCTTTGATAAGTTGGTCTTTCAGACAGGTGTAAACAATATATTGACACAATTTTAAATTCGGATGCATAATTTTGGTCTAGACTTTGATGTTTTACATTATATACAGAAAGATGTGCATTGCATTCAAGTTGTCTATACTCCATACGACATAAATATGAGATTAAATATGGAATTTTAAATCAGATTGGATGCCTCTAGGGTTGCAGATTGCTTTTCTCAGAGAGAGAAGGTTTATCAGCTGCATAGAAGGGGAAGACAGAGAGACAGAAGGATCCATACCTTGAGGAAGAGGTCAGATAGAGGGAGTTGCAGACAACGCTGAAGGGGAAGGTCGATTTCGCGCTGAAGGAGCAAATTGACTTCGCGCTGAAGGAGTAGATTGATTTCGCGGGAGAGACGTGTTTGAAGAAGGAGCAGAATACTTTCGCGGGAGAGACGAGTTTGGAGAGCCTTCAATCACTCTCCAATTGAAGCCAGCGGGGAAGGGATGAGGGAAAATAGGAAGCCATTTAGCCAGCCGATTGGAGTGAGAATTTAGGGTAATATTAGCTAAAATAGCTAACAGGATTAATATGCCTCTTCCCTTGGAGTTGCTCTTACACCTTATCAAAAGTTGTCATTTAACCGAGATAACATAAATAATACAATTACTTTTTTGCCACTCCATACTAAAGCCAAATTACTTAGTTACCCATTTCCTTGTCACGCATCCAATTTTTCATGTGTTAGGACTATAAACGAACCGAGCTGAATTGAGTTTTGCTGAGTTCGAACTTGGCTTATTTGTTTACCAAGTTCAAGTTTGGCTCAATAACTAATCAAGGTCGAACTTGGCTCATTAATATTAGTTGAGCCCGTGCTCAACTAGAAACTCAATAATAATTTTTTTATTTATTTATATTATTTAAATATATTTATATATTATTTTAACATATAAATAAAATAATTATGCTATTATTTATACATGTTTTATATTATTTAATATATAAATAATATATTTATTTTATAATTTAAATAAAGACAAATAAGCTTAAAAATCAAGTTCAAACTCTTCATTTACTTATCGAATCGAATCGAACAAACAGTTCAATTCGTTTGTAACCCTATCTTTTATCAACTCCCATTGCAAAACGCACACCTTTCTCACACCCCATGACCACTTTTTGGCCCCTTGAGTTACAACTTCAATGCAGACACAGCCCCTTTTCAGTAGGGTGGGGTGTTATTTTTTAGCCATCGGGGTTGGATTTGGACAAGAAAAATGCTTTATACCCCCACTGGGGGTCGACCTCCAGTGAGATGGAGGCTCGTGATTGGATGAAAAAAAATTATTTATTTTTTTTTTTGGTTGTCAGCCAGTGGGGGCGCACCACCTCACTGGGGGTGCGACCTCCACTAAGGGTATTTAGCAGGGCTCTTTGGACAATTAGGCTGATTTGAGTGTTGATGTTGAGGTGGGGTTATTTGGGTACAATGTTGGTATAGTGAGGATGAGATGTTTATGACACTATTATACACGAAGAGAGCATTCGTAAATGGGGGATAAAATGGGTATTTTAGAAAATTAAATAGGTGATATTACTAAAATCTGTTATTAGTTAACCTGAGAGTTGACTAATGAAGGGAGATATTTATGACACTCTTATAAACATCAAAATGTGATTTCTCATACCATGTAGAGAGTTCATATTTTTGACAAATCTCAATTGTAATGTTTATAATTTGCCTTTAATTTTGATAAAAAGATCTATCTCTTAGTCCCTTAATCGGAGTAATTGATACTCGTACTTTCAAATCATGTAATATAAGAGTAAAACTCTAACGCAACACGTCATCATCATTGATATGTGTATCACCATCTAATAATAAAGACAGTACATAACAAAATGACTCACTATCTATTCAGTTTTGTTACAGCTACAAATTAAATAATTTTGCTACATGCACAGAAAGATCTAAATACAGAATGCACAAATATGACAAAATATATCTGCATTTATAGTTGTGAATGCTTATAAATGCAAATATACATGTTATATCTGTTTATTTTTTATTTGAAACTTTCTGTACGCCTAAACTTTCTCCAAACTAAATTACCAATTATTTACATGTGTGTAACTTAGGTTTCAAGCACGAGTAGATGGTAAAATAATTAGTAATTTAATTTGTATATATTTATTTTGCTATATAAGCATGACCGCTCTCCCCAACTCATCCTACTCATTGAAATATTTACATAGTGTAGATTTACAACATATTTACATAGTGTGATTGATTACACTTGCATAATAAATTATGCGACAATGTTATATATTTGGAAGAAAAAAAATTAATGGCCTATATTTATTGTCTGTATGACTCACATCTCACTAATTTTGAATTTACACCAAACATTTATTTTTGAAATTAAATTTTAGATAAATTTTAATGGTTTATTGCATTTTTGTCAACAAAAATACTATAAAATTCATAAATTTTATTAAAAATATTAATATGTAATTTAGATTGAAGTATATACATAGATTCACACATTCAATCCATATCACACCCCAATTCTAGGCATAAATCAAGGTCCAAATTTTGGGTAAAAATAACTTAACCCCAATTCTAGGCATAAATCAAGGTCCAAATTTTGGGTAAAAATAACTTAAATACAATGATGATATCACATCATTGATATTATCATTCAACCATTTCTTAATTTTTAACTTCCATATTAATGTGATACCTAAAATTTAGAGTTTACCTTTCATAGCATCTTGATTTATTGATTTATTGTGTATTAGTAATACTATAACGACGGTATTATCATTATACTAAATTTTTACTCATTAGGCTAAGTAATTCATTGCATCAATAGTGATACACATTATTATGTTATATCACAATCACTATTCAATTATTATAATTAACAAAACAGCAAGTTAGGGTCCAAAATTTGGTGTGACTTCTCTCCGGTACATTATGTGAATTAGAGTGTGTTGTTAGGCTCATAAAATTCATCACGGATCTCTTTTTGATGATCTGAAAATATTTCATATTTGTAAAAAATTACATTGAGCGAATATTGACAGTCCCTTGATCGGAACACATTTTTTTTAACAATTTATTTTTAAAATTATATTTATCATGAGAAAAATATATCTCCGGCTACCAATATCCAATCAACATGATTTTTCAAAAACATAAAATACTTAACGAGTTCTACACATTTAACAGTTCAAATTATCGAAACAAGACTCATGATAAGACCCACGGACCCAACAATATCCTCTAATTCATACAGTGAAGTAGAGAAAAGCCTCCCTTTAACTATTTTGTCCATCATAATTATTGAATAGTGGTATCACTATTGATGCAATGAATTTTTGAGCGTGATGTAGACGATAGTAGCCATTATTCATCTTCCATTAATAATGACTACAAACAGAAGATATTGCTATATATATAAACATTCAGTGTACATTTATATAACTATTCCCGCTTCTATAAAGACAAGGAGACTTGATTAGTTTAGAAAACTATAGATTTACATGGAAATCTCAGACTCAGAGAGAGAGAGAGAGAGAGAGAGAGAGCGCTTTGCCCATTTGCCTGTAAAATTGAGTTAACCAGAGTTTGCTAGTACCAGTTTACACAAAACCCATTATATAATAGCTATATCATCATATCACCACCATTAACCTTGCCACGGTGGCTGCTATTCATAGCTATATATATATATATATATATATGTAAACTACATAGTTTTTAAGCTTCAGAGCTGGCGGTGGCGGTAGAGGTGGAGTGGTGGTGGCGGTCAGTATCATTTTTCTTGGAAGCTGACAGGGAGCACTTCTCTTTTCTCTCGTCGTGCTTCATTTGTTTTTCCCTGCACTCTTCACTACAAAATGCCGTATCCCCCCTGCCCAAAAACAAATATAAATTAATAAAATAAAAAATTGAGCAAACCCATTCTTAGAAAAATAATATTACAAAATCTAACACTTGTAATGCGTACATCGATATCATCATTATTATAAAAGAACAAAATACAATAAGCTCTAACATTAATAATTGAGACTGGCATTTGATTAAATTTTGCGTGTTTACTTCTTTTTCTTTTTCTTTCTTTTTTTTTTTTAGATACTTTTTTTTTTCGTTTTTTTTTTTTCCATAAGTTTTGATTTTACAACATTATATAACCCAAAAACAAATAGTTATTAAAATCTAATTATATAATATAAATTTAAATAAAATTAATTTACTTATTTTAAATTCTAAATAGGACTAATTTGGGAAGTAACCATTTTAGTTAAAAAGTTCAAAAATCATTATAAGTTATCACATCATTCTCTCTATTTTTCTATACATCTTTTTATAAAATATCAAAAATTACTTTTAGTAAAAAATAAAAAAATTAATAAAATAACATGTAGAAATCAATAAAAAAAAAAACAAAAAAAATCTAAACACATGGTGAAATATATATATATAATTTTTTGGGTGAATACGGTTTGTTCTTTTCCGGTTTTACTATTGTGAATTAACTTTAACTTCGGTTGGTGCTTTTGATTTTCTTTTGGAAGGCATTGACCATTCATCATTTCCAATTTTACTGTCAACTTTAAAAGTGTCTAAGACATTTATTTTATGAAATCGAATTGAACTCAATTATATACAAAAAAACATGTATTCATAAAAGTTCGATTTATTATACAGAGAGAGAGAGAGAGAGTAGCTACCTATACATGTAGATGTCACGACCAGGTGTTAAACGGCGTTTACAGAGTCCACACATCCTCAAGAAATCAGCCGTCTCTACAACAATATCATCACCGCCACAAGTCTTCGTATTGTGATACCTCGGCGACACCGTCGACATCAGACGGTGATCTAACCCAGTGGGCCCACCCGCCACCACGCTCCTCTTCGCTGGACCTCCTTGTTCCCCCAACGAACCCTGGCCGTTCATCACAGCCTTCTCAATATCATCAGACGCTTCCACGTTCCCCAGATCCACGTTCATCCCATTCATACTCGTCGTCCTCCTCATCGGACCCCTCGGACGTTTTCCCAGCAACATCTCAAACTCTTCTGTATATATCTATATCTATATGTATGTGTATGTCTCTCTGTGTATTTTTAGAGAGAGAAAACTAGAGAGAGAGAGACTATGGACAGTGGAAATGAAAATGCAAGGTGGGTGGGAAGTGAAGATAAACAAAGTTGGGGAAGGTGGAGATTGAATCTGGGCCGTTGATCTGAATGAAACGATTTCGAGAAAGACCACGTCAGCAATCACCTTCAGTCCGTCACTTTTTTGCTTGGAATTTTGTAATTGTGTTATGGTGTGGTGGGATGATGATGACGGACATCTAAAGTGTACGTGCTCTTTAGCTTTTTTGAACGGTCAGCAACATAGAATGTGACATCAACGGTAGAGACTGAACATGACCCCACATTTACATATTTTACGGATCCAGAGAGAGAGTCAGTGAATATTCCATTCTATTCTATATCTTGTCGATGTAAATAGAAATAGTTTTTCCCAAGTATCAGGGAAAGTCTTTTTTTTTTTTTTGTACGGGGTAAAAAGATTCTGATTTTACGGTTCAGAGGACTTTTAATTGGCAAAAACATAAATTATATTTACACTTTCACCCCAAATTTAAGTGAAAATTCATCTTTTGAAAAAGAAATAAAAATTAAAGAAGCATTATATTTTGAAATATTTTAAATGAATTTAGATTTCAATTGGAAACTAATTTTGAACAATATTTATTCGGGGATGGGGTGACTGCTATGCTGTGAGGCACAACAATCACTGTTGCACAGTTATACACGCTCATTTTAGGATTTATTTTGATAATTTGAACCATTCATATTGTATAGTACATTGAATAAAATATACTTGTAAAAAATTAAGTTAATTGAATATCGTTAATTCTTTTATCCCCTCACATTAGTATTCATTTTAATATTTTAAATCACAATTGCCATTTATTTTTATACATACAAATGTGAATGAATGAAAAGATTAACGACATCCGATTAATTTAATTTTTTTACAGACATGTTTTACTCGATATACTCTAAAATATGAATGATTCAGATTATCAAAATAAATCCCCAAATAGACCCATATAACTGCACAATAGTAACCGTCGTCCCTTATTTCCTATTTATTCATATTTCAGTAGACCGTTTTAGTCCCTAAAAATACTCTAGCTTGCTTGAAATAGAAAATTTGATTAATAAAAACTCTATTACTTTATCAATTTATTCATTTTCCTTACTTATAATTGACGTAGCATTTCTAATCACTATTACAAAATTATAAATAGATCATATTTTTTTATGTGTAATATATGTTATTTAATTATATATTTTAAGTTTTATCAAAGTATGATCTTTGGAAATATGATTAAAAAGGGTCATTTTTAATCACACATTTTGAGTGTCATTAAAAGATGATTTCATCACACGTTATGCGTGTGATAATAAATATTTAGATCACACTTTTTACGTGTGATAATAAATATTTAGATCACACTTTTTATGCGTGATGTATAACTAATCAAATCTATGATAATAAACATCTAGATCACATATTTTAAGCGTGATTAATATCTAATAAGACATATGATTAATAATGAGATAACATTACACGTTATCTGCATTTCTCATTACAATTAATGTGTCTGATAAAAAAAGAGTTCGACATATTTGAAAAATAATTAATATTATTTTTGTACGTATTGAAAGAATATAATACACACTATATACTATCCTTTAAATCACAATTACATATTAAATAGAATAAGATCATATATTTCATAAATAAAAGTTAAATGTACAAAAGCAGTAATATCTGTTAAACTACAGACCAACTAGTCTTTCTTACTAATGTAAATAAAATTGACATTGACTGGGGCCTTCACCTCATACTTTTTCAAGTTTTGGCTTGCATCATATTGCACCAGAGTAGTGTAGCTACTAGTCTCACTGGACCACTGTGGTGCAATATGACCAAGTAACCAATCATCTTACTGTATTTGCTCTTATCTCTTCCCTAGCTTGTTTTTTCTTAAAGATCTACAAGGAAATTTCATGTAAGTTGTTTCAAACATAACAAATGCATCAGAATTAGAGTTCTACCAACTACGATAAGTTATATGAACAAAATTTCTCTTTAACAAATCCTAATAATAGTTTTTAAGTAAAGGTCCAAAGTTCCAAGCAATCACTACGTTTAAGTATAATCCAAACGAACTTATTTCCAAGATAGAAAATATCTTCTCCAGGTTTGTCCTGTCGAATTTCCAAGAGTGCATACTATATAAAGGGTTCATAAACTTTAAAGATTAAATTATTTTATCATCTCAAACAACTAAATTAATAGATATTCATATGAGGTAGTCTTAAATATAATAATATTTTCAAGCGAAGAGCAATATTTTTTACTCAATTCAATAGTTAGTTTCAGTTTTCATGGATAAATGAATGCAAAAATGAATGTGTAAAGACCATAGTTTGTTTTTCTAGCTAAGGTTAAAAATAGGTTTAAAAAAAAAAAAAAATTGATTACACTTTCTTAAATTAGTATAGTATTCATAACCCTTATTCACTTGTAATTCTCTTATTAGTTCAACACATGGTGTACCAAAATGTACAATTCGATGAGAAAATAAGCTACGACAAGGATTTTTGTAATCTTAGTACACGACTAACTAGAGATAATGAGGTTATAATGACTGACACTGCTTTTAGGGTCTTTAACTGTTGAAATATACCATACAACTTCAAAATTAGTTTTGTATGTATAGAGCCAAAAGTGAAATGGTATATACTCCCCTTAATACCTATATGTTTACTCTATAAAGTGTTCAAAAACTTTAAATAGTATTATTTATGATCTCAAATAACCAAATTAATAGATATTCATATGATGCAATGTGAAGGTAATAATTTTGTGAAATGGCAAAAGAGAATAACATAAATTTTACTCAATCAATTAATTAATTCTTTCTTATGGAAAAATGAATGTAAAGCCATAGCTTGTTTTTCTAGTTAAGGGAAAAAGTAAGTAAAAAATTGACAAAACTTTCTCAAAAGTATTCATAACCCTCATTCATGCGTGCTTCTCTTGCATCAAATCAGCACTTAGCGAGCAACTAAGCCCCAACATGGATTGTTGGAATCTTAGCACAGACAAACTCCAAATAAAGAGGTTATAAGAACGGACACCACATTTAAGGTCTTTGACCATTCAAACGTAATGTGTCTTCAAACCTGTTTTGCATTTTTTTCTAGCAGAGCCAAAATAGTAATTGGTATATATGCTCACCCTAAGACCTATGTGCATACTCAGTAAAGTGTTCAAAAGCTTTAAAGAGTATATTATTTACCATCTCAAACTATCAAATTAATAGATGTTAATATGATGCACTATTAAGGTTATAATTTTTTCAAGTGGCAAAAGAGAGGAGAACATAAATTATATACAATTCAATAGTTAATTCATTTTTAATGGAAAAATGAATGCGAAGATTGTTGTGCCTAGGAGGCAGAAAACATTCACACACAAGCATACAAGCAAGAATACATAAAGATTTACGTGATTCGGCAAATCGCTTACGTCCACAAGAAACGGATTGACTATATGGACAGAAATACAAAATTACAACAATGGATGAGGAGGAGATGCTATTCTCACTCAACTCTTGCTCACACTCTCTCTTGTTGCTTACTGTAATTCTCACACTCTCTTCTTTCACCACACCAAACTCCTCCCATTTACTACTTATTTATAGATGCAATAGGAGAGCCAATCCGCTGGCAACATTAAAGGTAGCCACCAACAAGATCAGCCACCCCTATCATGAGTAACTCAGTTGAATCTCTAGCTTCCTCATTTGTCTTCAATCAGCAGCTCCCTTCTTGGCCCTCATCTCAGAACCAACAAGTTTGTTTAGAATACGACATTACCCCCCAAAGTTCTCTTTTTTGGTTGGTTGGCTGGCCTGGAAAAACAGACTTAAAACTGTAGAGTATTTGCACAGACTTGGCATATTAGGCAGTAGTGTTTCCTTCCTTTGCCCATTTTGCAGCTCTGAAGTTGAATCTGAACTCCATGTTTTGCTTCACCACCATTTCTCTTGGTTTGTCTAGTCTTCTGTGATTCATGATTGTGGATTTCATTGGTGTATACAAGAATTAGTGGAAGGTCTGTTCAACTGGTGGTTGCGTGGAAAATTTAAGAGCCTTGAAAAGAAAATCTAGAAAGCTATCCCTCTAGTGGTTCTTTGGACTCTTTGGAAATATAGGAACGAGTGTGTCTTTTCTATGGCCCAACCCAACTCCTCTGGTCTATGTGAGCTTATCAAAATTAAAACAGCTCTTTGGCTCAAAGCATCTATAAAGGATTTTCCTTTCTCAATCGATGATTTTGTGCTCAAGTGGGATCAAATCAGAGGCTTCTCTTGTCTTTGCACCTAGGCTTCTAATTTCTTTCTTTCTTCTTTCTTTTTCATTCTTTGGTTGGTTCCTCACTAACCTAGGGGTGTGCTAGAGCCGTTCTATCGGGTGCCAATTGTGTTGGATCTAGATTGATAGCTTGCTGCTCTCTTCTCCCTCTTTATTGATTGTAACTTTGTTCCACATTGTTATAATCAATAAAGTTTTCTTTACTGATAAAAAAAAAAAACAAAGTTGACAAAGAAAATCTGAGCCAATCTTCAACAAAGATCAATATAAAATCCATAGCTTCTTCTACACACTCTTAAAGTAGTTTTCACAATCCTCTTTCACTCGTGCGTTACTCGTGCATAACTCGTGCTTCTCCTACTTCCACTACAACAAAAAACACTATTGGCGACTAAAATGGGAATTTTCGTCGCTGAAAGTCATGGAATTGGCGACTAAAATGGAATTAGTCGCCAAAATTGGTCACTTTTGCCGACTAAAAGACTTTAGTCGCCGAATGTAATGGTTTTAGCGACTAAAAGGCAGTGTAGTCGCCAAATATAGGGGTTTTAGCGACAAAAATATTTTTAGTAGCCAAAGGTTAGGGTTTTTGGCGACTAAAACCATTTGGTAGCCAAACGTTAAGGTTTTGGTGACTAAAAACCACTTTGGTCGCTGATTGTACCTGTTTTGGCGACTAAAAACAGTTTCGTCGCTGAAGGTCAAGCTTTTTGGCTACTAAAAAAAAATTAGTAGCTAAAAACAGGTTTATGGCGACTAAAATTCACTTTAGTAGCCAAAGGGGGAGGTTTTTGGCGACCAAAAACAAGTTTAGTCGCCAAAAGGGTAGGTTTTTAGGCGGAATGGTTTTCTTTAGCGACGGAAAATTAATTAGTAGCCCAAAAATAATACAATTGGCGACTAAATAATTTTTTTAGTCGCCAAAAGTGATCTAAAATTTTTTTAATAAATAATTTATTTTTTACATAAATTATATTTGAATATATATAATTACATTTATATATATAGTTGTGTATTAATACTGATGAAAGTAATATATAAATAATATAAGTTGCAATTATAGTCATGAGATGGCTCAGTGGCATAGTGGGGTGGAGTGTATGGTTAAGGTTTGGAACTTGGAGGTCCTAGGTTCAAACCGTGGAAGCTTCTGAGGCACAAAGGAAATTTTTTCTTTTTTTTCAAAAATGCTTTTGGCGACTAAAAAAAAATAGTCGCCAAATGTATAAATAATAAAAATAATAATTCACTATTAGCGACTAATAGTTTAGTCGCCAAAGGTATAATTTCCAAAAATGGAATTGACTATTGGCGACTAAAACCTTAGTCGCTGAAAACCTGTGTATTGCGGACTAAAAGTTTTTTTTGTCGCCAAAGGTATTGCCGACCGTCTATTTGCGACAAACCCGGCGACTAAAAGATTTTGTCGGAGAAAGTGGAAATTTGACATTTGGCGACTAAAAAGGGACTTTTGGCGACTAAAAATTTAGTCGCCAAAGGTGTATTTTCTTGTAGTGTTCAAATTAACACTCAGTATACCAAAAATTAGAGGTTAGTGAACAACTAAGCTTCAACTTGGATTGCAGTAATCTTAGTACGCAATAACTCCATATGAGAAGGTTTTTTAGTCTTGGACCATGGAAACATAATGTGTGATTTCAAAACCTGTTTTGCCTTTTTTATTGATTAGAGACCCCCCAAAAATGATAACATACACTCGCTCCCAGACCTATGTACATTCTATAAAGAGTTCAGAAACTTTAAAGGGTAATTAGTTATGATCTCAAACTAACAAATCAAACGATATTCATTTGATGTAGAGTCGAGAGAATAGTTTTGTCAAGTAGCAAAACAGAAGACACAAATTTTATTCAATTCAATAGTCAATTGTTTTCTCATGGAATAATGAATGCAAAGATGAGTAAAGACCATAACTTCTTTCTTTTTTTGGCTAAGGTTGCAATTTATACAAATGACGAGTGAATCAACTAAATTTGTCAACTTCTACAGCAATTAGAAATATTGGAATAAAAATTTCTAGTTGATAAAAGCAGTAATTTTAGACAAAACGACTCTTAATGACCTCTATTTTGATGGGAGGGTAATGTGTCATTTTGCTCGTATCTTTGTCTATATTGTGTGGGTGGCTCTAAATGCTCCCCAAAAATTTTTGAAAACCCCAACTCGAATTTTGAATTTTGAATTTTTTTTGGTAGAGACCACAAAAGACTCAATTAATTCCACTTGTATCCCTTTCACTAACCTGCTACCAGGATGGCCACCACCGCCAAAGCCTCTTCTGCTGCAGTTTTCATTTCCATACGCCCACCACCACTAGATTTGAACCTTACAAGTAGACAAAGAAGAAGCGAAAACGGCAGTGGAGTCCCACCATCTCAAGGTCAAGTTGGTGGTCGAAGAGGTCACAAGTACAGGCCAATGGTTGCCCATGACCACAATTGCGTTGTCCTCGAGAGTTCTCTCTCGATCTTGGATCTGCTTTCTCTACTCTTTTCCCCAATCACAAAAAGTCCTTTAAGTAAGCCCTAATCCGATTCTCTTTCTATCTGGGTTCCTCAATTTGAATATGTGTGTGTGTATGTGTGCACACGCGCGCTTTTGCATTGATAAATATGTAGATATGTGTTGTTTCTTTGTCAATTTAATATATTATTTAGTGGGAAGTATAAGTTAATGCTTGAAGTTGGATGCTATGGAGATTTCATACTTGTAATGTTGTGGGTTTCACGTATACTGTTAAGAACTTTAAATTGATTCCCTTTTAATTGGATTTTGAATCTCTATTTTGCAAGAAGAAGAAATAGGAAGGGCAACGGCAGTGATGACAACGGTGAGGGCGATAATAGCTGGGGTTTGAAAAGGAAGAAGATGATGGTGATGATGATGATGAAGAAGGAGTCAGGCTATTGGCCGAAATCAAGCTTCTGGCCAGAGCAGTGTTGTTTAAGTTTACGGTTTTGGCCATTTTGGTCATTTAGTTAGGTGACAAAATTGTATTAAAAAAAAATTTGAAAAATGGAGTGTTCAACTTAAATTTTAGGGTGCACTCAGAGCTACCCATGTTGTGTATATGGCCTACTATTTTACACAAATGGAATGAAATTAGAGAAACACTTAAAGAAAATAAGATTTATTTATTTTCCGAATGGAAGGGTTGGAGGGTACATAAATTATCCAAATAATCTCTGTAGTTTACACGATGTGTTAATTTGGTCTCTGTAGTTTAATTTGCTCGATTTTGTCCATTAATTTAACGGATTGTGTCATTTTAGTCTAATAAATAACGGTTGTTAAGTTAATTTAATGGAATGTCAAACAATGTGTCAATTTAGTCTCTGTACTTTACACGATGTGTTAATTTGGTCATTGTAATTTTAATTTTCTCAATTTTGATAGGGACTAAATTGAGACATTGTGAAAAATACATGGACCAAATTGACACATTGTTTGACTTTCTATTAAATTAACTTAACAATCATTATTTATTGGACTAAAATGACACAATTAATTAAATTAAGGGGCAAAATCGAGAAAATTAAAACTATAAGGACCAAATTGACACCGTGTAAACTATAGGGACTATTTGGATAATTTTCTCATGTATATATGTATATGTAAACGAATATGTGTGTATATATGTGTGTGTTCATATAAAATCATATAACACAATACCCTCACATATGATGAAAATTGGCTTGAAGGTGAGTACGATCACCCTCGAGCCTAAGCATGCCTTTGAAGTTCGGTCAACTCATCATCTTGACCTCAAAGCCCGTCTACACCCACTAATACACCAAAATTTTTGAAAAATAAATAAATAAAATTAATCGTTGGTCATTGGGCTAGTAGGCATTGGCCCTGCACAAACTATTTTTCTTTTCAATCTTATTTATTTTATTTTTTTTCATTCTAAGTTCGTGGCTATAAATACTTAACTCCACAATCATCGTTTTTCACTATTCAATGTTTTCAATCTCAAATCCCTCTAAATTCTCACTAAATCTCAAGTATCTGTTAGCCTTTCTTTTATCATTACTGAAAATCGATCAATAATTCACTTCCTCTCTTTTTTTCAATTGCAATCCAAATCAACAAGTAATTGTCATTATTTGGCATACAGTGTAAATAGATTGATTGATTATTGATTCACTACATGAAATTGAGATAAAAGTCAGGTATGCTTCACGAATTTTTCATTTAATTGATTTGTATAGTTTTTTTTTTTCTTCCACAAACCATAACTGTAATTGTTAGGCTTGTGTTTGTTCTATATACTGATACTACATATACACTATCGTATTAAGATAAAGAATAGAAGGATGGGATCATGAAGATAATGAGGTAGGTTTAAAATGCGACGAGATCGATGGTAAAGTGGTGACCTTCGGTGTGAAAAGAGTATTGGAATAAAAGTTGAAATATTTGACAAGGCTGATAGGGGAGATGGCACAATTTATCCATAAAATTAACATAAATTATAAGTTTTTGATTGTATAATTCACTCTAAAAATTATAGAATTTTAAAAATAAAAGATTGAAAATTTTCACAAGCCCAGACCTAGGTTAATTTAGGATAAAATTACTGATTAGGCAATTTTCATTTTTTTAAATTGCTTCAAAACGTAAAAGTTCAATAATAATTTCAAGAAATGTTTTTATGAATATGGAGTTTTAGAGAAGAAAAAAATTCGTTATCTCCTTGTATTCAGACAATGAATTTTCACAATTTTTGGATATGTGAAAATTCAAATTGAGAGCTAAAAATTGTGTGCTTGAATAATTTATTCTCACGCATTCAATCTCTCATCGTATCTAGTTGAATTCCTTCCTCTCAATTCAAATTATGCTAACTTAGATGTAATTCATGGTAACTTAGTTTGGATATTGTTATCCCGAGTTATGTTGGGAATCCTAAATAAATTATCAATTTTTTTTATCAAACCTCTTACATGGATGTAAGACCCACATACGTGTAAAAAGTTTGGTATAAAATTTAATAATTTATTTGGGGTGTATAACATTTTCCTTGTTGCCCCAACCACAAGCATTAGAAATAGAAGCAGTATAAATCTAAGCCGTGAAGATGAGATAATGAAGGTGAAGACAAATTAGTGGCAAAAAATACAAATGAATAGACTATGGACCTAGTCTCTTAAATTTTCACAAACTAGGGACCTCACAATCGAATACTTTTTATGTGGACTAGAACTAAAGGAAATTGTGTGCGTCAATTTCCAACTATACTGCCAATCAAGCACTCAGCTGGAGAACACTGGCAGAATAGATTAAGGCTGAACGACCTTAGACCCATGAGGATGCCTCTCTTTTATAGCCAACACTTACTTAATCCCAAAAGAAGCCTAACTCCAATGGACTTAAGATTACTATTAATCTTAGACTCCCAGTAGGATTGGGATAAACTCTCTAAAAGTCTTATCTTTATCCAAACTGAAGTCCTCTCTCATTCTATGGCTCTTGTCTCTTATCCGCTTATTCCGGATTCCGGTATCTTCGTAGATAACCACGGCCTAGCCGAGATGATCTCGGCGTCATGACCAGGACACGTGACACTTCGGTGACACCCTGGCCATGTGTTGTCATTCAAAAATTATGTCCCCACAACTGTCCCCTAGGTTCTATTACTTCGACATCCTGAGGTGATGGAACCTATAGCATTTCTTCCTTTAATCATGACCTCGGTTTAACTTCAGCTTGTAATTTTTTCTTAAAATTTCAACAAGTGTTAAACATGACCTTGATTTAACTTGAACTTGTAAATTTTTAAAATTTCAACAAATGTTAAAATGATCTCGGTTTAACTTCAACTTGTAAATTTTTAAAATTTCAATAAGTATTAAACATGACATCGATTTAACTTCAACATGTAAATTTAAATTTCAACAATTGTGTTAAACACGCCATTGGTTTAATTTCAACTTATAAATTTAAAATTTCAACAAGTGTTAAACACGTCCTCGGTTTAACTTCAACTTGTAAATTTTTCTTAAATTTCAACAAGTGTTAAACATGATCTCAGTTTAATTTCAACTTGTAAATTTTTCTTAAAAATTTTAACAAGTGTTAAACATGACCTCAGTTTAATTTCAACTTGTTGAAATTCAAGAAAAATTTACAACTTGAAGTTAAACATTGTGTGTGTCAATTTCTGACCACACTGCCAATCAAGCACTCAGTTGGAGAACACTGACAGAATAGATTAAGTCCGAACGACTTGTCACAAAAAGAAGAGATTCTAGCGGTGGTTCGTCCACCGGGGGCACTCCAACGATCAAGTCAGTTATCTCTCAAAGATAGCAATTAGTGCTTAACTCACTATTCAGAATATAAAAAGCATACCTTAGACCCATGAAAGTGCCTCTTTTTTATAGCCAACACAAACCTAGTCCCAAAAGAAGCCTAACTTCAATGAACTTAGGATTACTGCTAATCTTGGACTCCTAGTAGGATTGGGATAAACTCTGTAAGAGTCTTATCTTTACCCAAACTGAAGTCCTCTCTCATTCTAGGACTCTTGTCCCTTATCCGCTTATCTCGGATTCCGGTATCTTCACAGATAACCTCAACCTAGCCGAGATCATCTCGGCGTCATGACCAGGACACGTGGCACCTCAGCTGGCACTTCGGTGATACATCGGCCACGTGTTGTCGTTCAAAAATTATGTCCCCACAACTGCCACCTACGTTCTATTACCTTGGCATCTTGAGGTGATGGAACCTATATCATTCATTCCTTTAATCATGACTCCGGTTTAACTTCAACTTGTAAATTTTTCTTTAAAATTTCAACAAGTGTTAAATATGATATCGGTTTAACTTCAACTTGTAAATTTTTCTTAAATTTCATCAAGTGTTAAACATGACCTCAGTTTAACTTCAACTTGTAAATTTTTCTTAAATTTCAACAAGTGTTAAACATGACCTCAGTTTAACTTCAACTTGTAATTTTTTTTTTTAAAAAATTTCAACAAGTGTTAAACATGACCTCAGTTTGACTTCAACTTGTAAATTTTTCTTAAATTTCAACAAGTGTTAAATATGACCTCAGTTTAATTTCAACTTGTAAATTTTTCTAAATTTCAACAAGTGTTAAACCAATCTTGGCTTGAAAATTCCAACTCCCAAGCATCATTCTCTAGCCCTCTGCATAGCTTCCATCTACTCCTTTGTGGACCTTATATAAAAAGTCTTTAACTCAAGTTGAGCTTTTCTCTTCTCGTACTTAATCATTTAAGCTGAGATCTTGTCTTCTAGAATCTGGGATCTGCTCACTTTAGGCTGAGCTCTTCTCTTCTCGGACCTAATCATCTAGGCTGAGATCGTGTCTTCTGGGATTCTCCATTCCCGACCTCCCGCAAAGGCCGGTGAGAATGTCCCTTGGTCCCGCAATGCTGAGGAACTGTAAGAACCGTTTTCTGCCTCTCTTTCTGGGCACCTTTCTTGGCTGCTGGAATCGACGTATCTTGTAGCGGAAACGGTGGCTACATGACGTTGTTCTGCATCAAGAAATTGACGACCGTTTGCAGGTCTGCCAATTTGTTCGTCATTCCCTTCATCTCGTCATCCCTCCGCAGGCATCTATCTTTCCATACCTGGAGGTTGTTCTCGTAATAATACCCGTTCCGGTCCGATTTCTTCGGTACGCCGCCCTCCTGGCCGACGTTCTTTCCTCTGTGATTCTTATTACGAGTCTCTTCGTTGCAGTTGTCTTCTTCGACGTCAAGGTCAATATGTTTTCCACTATCAGTAGGGATGTCATCCCCGACCTTCTCTTTCTGTCCGTAGTTGGCCATCTATTCTCCTTTCGTTCCCACAGATGGCGCCAAATTATTTGTGTCAATTTCCGACCACACTGCCAATCAAGCACTCAGTTGGAGAACACTGGCTGAATAGATTAAGCCCGAATGACCCATCACAAAAAGAAGAGATTCTAGCGGTGGTTCGTACACCCAGGGGCACTCCGACGATCAAGTCAGTTATTTCTCAAAGATAGCAATTAGTGCTTAACTCACTATTCAGAATATAAAAAGCATACATTAGACCCATGAAGGTGTCTCTCTTTTATAGCCAACACAAACCTAGTCCCAATAAAAGCCTAGCTTCAATGGACTTAGGATTACTGCTAATCTTGGA